AAACACATAGAAAAGACATTTTCAACATTTTCACATGCAATTATTAAAAAAGAGAAAGCACAATACATAATTGTTTTACCAGATTACAAGTTGCACTAGTATACATTTTCTCATTTAAATGATCATATTTAACCCACCAACCTAATAAAAAAAAATAATAATAAAATGTTTTAAAACATAGTAATTACTCTATGTCTTGGCTTTTAGTAAATGATTTTAGTTTTAAGATCGAAATGACCTATAAGCTTCATATGTAAGCTCTAAAAACAAATAAAATATTAATGTATTTGTAATTCATGTAATTAAAAATTAAAAAAATTAAAATAAATACTTACCAAGACAGTTTGACTGAATATATATAAAGAATGATTAATGAATCAATGAAATTTTTAATAAAAGTTAATCAGAATAAAAACTCAAACATGTATAAGCTTCTGATTCTCCTTTTATAGCACTTGGAGAGATAACAAAACACAAAAGTATTAAATAGATGATATAAATAGGAATAAGAGGAACTCAATAAAAAATCAGAGACATTCTAGATTTATAAATTTACCGTTTAAAGGTGGTACAGATGGAACTAAAAGTAAAATTTGTTTTAATAAAAAATACAAATTGCAAATGGTAATAAATGCATTCATAGTCTAAAAAGTAATAATTTTTATATAAAAATGGTTTTAATTAAAAACCAGTTGATAAGAAATGCAATTGCAAAAAAGAATATGCAATTGATAAGAAATGCATACACATGTTAAAAGAAAAAAGGTTTTGAAACTTACCAGGCGTAGCCACACGTATAAAGAACTAAAGGTAAAAAATATATTATAAAAATCAATATTGCAATCAATGAGAAATTTGTGCACATTAAAAAGAGTTGTTTAGGTGTAGCACAAAAGGTAGATACTAAAACTACAATGTTGTAACAAAAAATCAATATTTTAAATAACGAGAAATGCATACACATAAAATGTAATAGTTTTTTAAATTACTAGTTGCAGCACATGACTAAGGAAATAAAGTTAAACATATTGTAAAGGAAATGAAGTTAAACAACTTTTTAATTTCACATTAAAAAGTTGTTTAACTTACCAAGTGTAACACAAAAGATAGATACTAAAATTAAAAAATTGCAGCAAATGGGAAATCCATACACAACAAGTAATAATTAAATAAGTAGGAAATACATATATTTATTTATATTTCTTTAATGGTTAATAAAAGTTATGCTATAATAACTTACCAGCTGTAGTCTGTGCATATTGGAATAATGATAACAAAAAAATTGTATAATCAAAAAAAAAAAGATCTTGAAATTGTCAACAGTCAATAAAAATAAGTTATTAAATCAGTTCTGCTTTACGTATAACAACTTCACTAACAAGAAAAAGGTATGAAAAAAAAAATTAAAAACAAATAATATTACTGTATTTTAAAATTATATTACTGTATATTAGAAAGACACTAACAAGATATAAGAATAAACTTATTATTGTAAAAGTATCTTGATATTTTTACAAAAATAAGCTTATTATTATAAAAATATTTTGTCAAAAACGTTATTGGCTTAAGCCAATAATGTTTTACTTTAAAGTATAATAATGTTGTTTGTATATTTTTATATATATGGTGTATTAACAACATTGGTATCTGATACTAATAGTTAATAAAATATTCCAAAGTAACAGTTTAATCTTAAATCCTAATCTTTTTTAATATACCATCATTGGTATATATTACCATCATTGGTATATATAGTTTAAAAAACCTTAATCTTTGTTTACATGCCATGTAAACAAAGATTAAGGTTTTTAAATTTATCATTGTTTTGTTTTTTAAAAAAGTTATTATTATCATGAAAAACATATTAACTTACTTTTTAAAGTTTTCTTTTCCATAACTTTACCATTTTTATTTGAATTTTAATCTAATATTAGGAATTAAAATAATACAATGTTGTAGTAATTTTTTGTTTACAATCCGCTTCCCCCCTATCCTCCCCCGTATTTCTCTTACTGATAAAACAAAAACAAAAAAAACCGAATTTAGGTACCGAAAGTCCTACACTTCTTAAACTATCTGCTCCCAATTATTTTTTGCTGAAATTTGGCATGTGCAAAGAAAATGCATGTAAAAAATTGCCTGAATAACAAAAAAAGCGGACACGACATTCCTTCGACAACAAATTAATGTGAGAACATCAACGAAATTTTCTTGAAAGTTTTCAGCAAAACTAACCATAAAAAAGTTTAGTGATTATACATAAAAGTACTATAAAAATCAAGCCTAACCTTTTTTCTTTCCAAATATAACTTTTATTTATATATGTTTCTAAAAAGAAACACCACAAAAAACGTTTGTCTAACCCTACCTAAAAAAAGCAGTATATTTAATAAAGCACCTTGTAACATATCTGCTCCCAATTATTTTTCGTTGAAATTTGGCACATAAATAGAAAATGCATGTAAAAAATTGCCTGAATAACAAAAAAAGCGGACACGACATGCCTTCGACTGCAAATTCATGTGAAAACATCAACCAAATATTCAGGAGCAAAATAATCTATTAAAAAGTCTAGTAACCATACATAAAAGTTTTAAAAAAGTAAAGATTAGCTTCTCTTCTTTCCAAAAAGTATCTATGTGTATATATGTTTCTAAAAAGAAACACCACAAAATTACGTTTACCCCACGCTGCCTAAAAAGAAGTGAAAAAAACGAGTAACAAAATTTTAGCAAAAAAATCGGTTCCGTAAATCACGATATGCGCGTACCTATATATATATATATATTATATATATATTAGGATAAATAATATTTATATTAAGCAATGTATATATATTTTTGATGAATATGTATAAATATATTTTATATATATATATTATATATATATATATATATATATATATATATATATATATATATATATATATATATATATATATATATATATATATATATATATATATATATATATATATATATTATATATATACCTACTTTTATTTTTAAAAATTGTTTTTTTTAAAAAAAAAAACCTTATTTGTGTTTAAAATTTTATCTTTATCGATTACGCTTAAGGTTTTTTGATTTTTTAAACGGTACTTCTATAACCGTTGGCAAACTACGCCGCCATCTTAGTAGGCCAAAACTAACTTAAAAAATTTTTTCGAATGCGCTATCCAGTTATTATTTTGAGATCAGTGATCTTTACATATCGTTATTTAAAAGTTAATGTGATTTTTTTTAAAATTAATTACTTTTTTTATGTTGCCGCTAACTTAAAAGTTAAAAAATGATAAAAAGTAGCTTAACCAAAACAGCTCTACGCTTACGTAAAAATCACTTAAGGCGTACGTAAATCGCTTTAAAACAAGGCCTGACATCCATCTTGAAAGTTGTTTTCACTTTTCATACAAATATATCTTAAAACTTTATTGTTTAAAAAATTACATTCAGGTGATTCTATATTGCGTACATATAAATTTCTAGATAAATTTTAAAAATTGATATTTATAAAAGGAAGTTTATGTTTTTTAAATAATTTCTAAATAAATTATTGCAATTAATTCTTTTGTTAAATAAATAATGTTTCATATGGGTAGGTACGTGGAAATCGCGATTAACGGAACCGATTTTTATGCTAAAATTTTGGTTCTCTTTTTTTTCACTCTTTTTTATGCAGCGTGAGGCAGACGTAGTTTTAAGTAGTTTCTTTTTAGAAACATATATAGACATAGATACTTCTGGAAAGAAGAAAAGTTAATCTTGATTTTTGAAATACTTCTATGTATGGTTACTAAACTTTATTATGGAATATTTTTTTTAACCTTGACGACTGTTGAAAAAAGAAAGGTTAGGCTTGATTTTTATGTAACTATTGTGTATCGCTACCATACCTTTTTATGGAGTATTTTGCTGAGAATTTTGCATGAAAATTTGGCTGATGTTGTCACATGGATTTGTATTCGAAGAAATATAGAGTCTGCTTTTTTTATTATTAAAATAGTTTGCTTCATGCATTTTCTATGAACATGCCAAATTTCAACGAAAAATAATTATAAGCAATTAGTCTAATTAGTGTTGGACTTTAGGTACCTAATTTCGGTTTTTTTTTTTTTTTTTTTTTTTTTGGTGAGCGAAATCCGGTCGGCGCCGAAATCCGGATAAGGGGGCGTTTCAACTAATAATCTTATTTTTAACTAATGTGATTTATATTATTAGATTTAAATAAATATGGCAAATATAAGCAAAACTGTGCTAGATGCCCTAACAGATAGTAAGTTCAATTTTTCTTATTCTTAATAATAGTATTAATAACTATTTTTAACTCCAAAAAATAATGATTAATGTAAAACCTTCATTGTTTTTTATGTAACATATTAAAAAAGATTAATGTTTCAGATTAAAACTGTTGGTATTCATTGAATAATTCAATAGTCACAGTTTTAATTTTTTAAAACACTAAAAAGTTTTTTTGTTAGGATTACACTAACGCAGTATGTAATTTACTTATTTATATGTGATTTATAATAGCCTATTAAAACTGATTGTCAATTGTTAGATTCAGTTGACAATTTATTAAAACATCAAATATAAACAATTATATTACATACTTCATTAGTTTAATCTTAACAAAAAGCTACTTATTGTTTTTGAAATATAACAAAAGAAATCATTATTATTGTCTTTTATCATATTTGGATTATATACTTCTTTATCTGTGGATTAGTGTTTAAGCCATTATACAAGCATGTGTAATATTTATTTCTTGTTTAGATCCTACCCGGTTTTTTTTAGATTTTTTGAGATATCGTAAGTATAAATCACATAAAGTTTAAATTTAACAATCACAAAGAAAAAAAGTATACAATAAGTAAATATTAATAAACATTTATAATATCTTCCTATCTATAGAAACACTTAAAAAAAACTAGAGTTAATTTTTTTACTTATTGTATATCATCTTTTTATATGTTTATTGTTTACATAAGTTTATAACCATTCCTAATGTTAACTTGTTGCTTATAAATATATTATCTTTATATTTTAATAGTTATATTTTAGTTGTTTATTTTCATTTTGTTAGTATAGTTGTTGCATCTTAAGTAGAACAGCTTTAATGATTGTAACATTTGTAACTTACTGTCGACAATTTCAAATTATTTTGTGGACAAATTTTTTGCTATTTTTAGTCGAATCTACACAGCCCATCACTGGTAAGATTTTATCAGTTTGTATATGCTAATGATTATAGAATTAGCTAGTACTTTTTAATCTGTAAATAAATTTTAAAGATTACCGATTTAAAAATCCTTATTTGCAATATTTTTTTTTTATTACAAATTTTGAATTTAAGTTACATCTTCGTTTTCAAAAAATGGTAAATTTAACAATTATTACTTTTTAATATGTGTAATTTTTAATATCCTCTATTTTCAAAAAGGAAAAAATGTTAAGAAAAAGCTAATAATCATAAAATAACGTACCTATAATGTAAAAATAGAAGTTTAAACCAATATTTTTAGAAAAACTGTTTATCTTTCTATAATACTCAATTATAGTTTTGATATTTCATTAAATAAATATTTTTAGGTGTTTTTTGAAGTGGTGCCGAAATTATCTCCCTGCCGAAATTACCCTACTTCACCCTATATATTTTTGATGACTGCAATATAAATTTTTTATTAAATAATTCTTAACCTTAGTTCCTTCTACATCTGCTATAAGAGGTATGTTTACTAATTTTTACTTTTCAAAATGTTTATGCATACCTTGGCAATTTCAGTTTTTTTTTTTATTTACAACTTTGATAACATTTAGTTACATCTTCAGCACCTACTACAACTAGTAAGTTTAAAAACTATTATTTGCAAATATTTACACACCTTTCTTAACAATTGCAAAGTTTTATAGAAACTTTTTTTACCTTTAGTTCCATGTGTTCAACCTTCTGCTGGTAAATTTATGATTCAAAAATGTTTCTAAATGATTATTGAATTTATGTTTATATTTATATACACTATTTAATGCATTAGTATTGTGTTATCCCTCAAAGTACAGTAAAATAAAATTATTACTCTCATGAACATTTTTTACGCTATCAGTGATTAATACGTTGTTCATGTTATTTATTCAACCTATCACTTTTGCAATTAATTGTTTTATATTAAATTTTACATAATACCATTCAGTACTAATCTATCAAGACTACCTATTATATAGGTCCCAGCATCCTGGACCCGCCAGCAGTAGCTCATTTAAACGATGGGTCCGGTTAGGAGGAAGGGACAATAATTCTTTAAAATGGCCCCATCACCCTCCTAACAAGGGTGCTGGGAGCCGCAGCAGAAGGGGAGGTGGTCGAGGTCGTGGAAGTAGAGGAAGCTGGGTGTTGCACAAGGCCCGTTGGGTGTAGCACACGCCCCTACCTATACTAACATATTAAAATAATGTTGAATACTTGTTTCTCTTTTCCAATAAACTTAATTTAAAACTATTTTTCAAATATCTTTTAAATTTTTTTTTTTAGGTTGGGTACGACTGGGCAGGAAGAGGGGCGTTTGGCGTGGCAAATGTCCCGTCCCTTATGTCAACTTATACACCACTTATATATGCTGTAAAGTAAGAAAATTTAATTTAAAATTTTTCATACAAAATATAATCATTGTTTAATAGGTTCAAATATTTATAAGAATGTAGCCTTTCACTACGAGGGTGTTTAAACGTAACAAAGACATCTACCCTTCAATCTAAAATAGACTACTAATATTTGGAAAGGGATTGGAAGCAAATTAGAACAATTTTTTGTGTATAAAGATGACATATTTTATCAGAAAAACACTCTTTCGTGTGAAAAACTTGTATTTTTTTAAGGGTACGAGGGTGTTCCGTACCCCCTCCGGTCCTCTAGACACCCCTTTATCTATAGAGTTATATGAACTTGCAGCCTACTCTTACATCTATATTTTGATATCAAGGTATAGACATTTGGATAAGATTTGACATAGTTATAACAACTTTAGTGGGAAAAAAAATAATTTTGGAACCAGTTTCTTCAATTAATCCATATATCGAAAATTTGCTACTATAAACGCTATAACCTTTTATAGAATTGTCAAATTTTCATAATTTTTTCACCTTTAAAATACTGTATTTGAGGGCTTTCTAATGATATATAATCTTCTAGTATTTAATTAATTTAAAAAAATCAGTCCGCGTACCCAATAGTATGGGATGCGTTGTTACTACAAATAACATAATGATCATGATATATTAACATTGTTTACTTAAAACATTAACCATTAAATTGGTTTAATAAATTATTTTTTTTCACTAAGCTAAAACTGGTTTAAGAAACTTAAAACCTAAGTTAGTTAAAGAAACATAAAAGCTAATTTATGGTAACTGAAGAATGATTGATATTGATAAAAAAAAAACTGATAGAAATATTGGTTATATTATTGTGTAGATTGCTTGAACAATTTTACTTTATTTTATTATCTTTTTGTTGTCATATTCATAACTTTTCTGTAATATAATTTGATTGTTACTAACACATTTTTTTTTTTGTATATATTCTTAATGCTTAATCGGAATAATATAAAGATATATTTTCTTTATAAATATAGTATAAAAATGTTATTGTGTTATGCAAAGTTTTTCAAGTCAAAAATTGGATACCTAAGTATTACTAACATATAAAGCACTAAATAGGAAAAGTTACCAAATCTATATATCTAGACTTGAACATATAAGTGTTTTTAACAAAATAACTTAAAGAATTTGTTGTTGACTTAATTTTTTTATTTTTTTTTTCAAGGAGTTTAATCATTCTTTAATATTTTTTTCAAATAAATTTGCTAATTTATTTACTTATATACACAATAAATAAACCAACAAAGTTGTGATGCACATTATGTATAGTCTAACAAAAGTAGATGCCAGACTATAACAGTTTTTCACAGTTTTATATATATTTATCATAGAGTGTTAAAAATATTAATAATATAAGTTATATTTTATCGCTTTTACAACTTCTAATTATAAATGGTTTTATTTGTCAGCTATTCTATTTATGAAAAAATAATATTGACCAATTGATTTTTTGGATTGTTGTTTATATATCATTTATTGTTGTCTTTTGTAATAGTATTTTTTATAAATATTGGAGCATTATGCCAATTTATTACATCCAAGTCATTAATAGTTCTGTATAGTTATATCACATCACCTCTTGATCTTCTAATTTTTGATGTGGAGAGAAGGGTTTTGTGAGTTTTTACATGATAAATCTTTTAAACTCTAAGCACGAATTGCTTTATGCTGGAGTTGTTCAATAATAATAAAATGTTTTCGTATATGTAAACTCTTTAATAGGGTTTAATATTCAAGGTGAGGTCTAAATAATGATGTACTATTAATGTTATATTTCTTTCATCTAATAATTTCAAGTGTTTGATTTGCCCTAATGTAAAACTTCCAAGTCATTTTTTCTCTATAATTTCATTTTTAAAAAGCTTTCATTAAAAATTATAAAGAACTGCCAATAATGATGTTATTAACATGATTTTTGTTTTAGTATGTAGCATATATTGTTTTATATTTTGTTTTAGTATGTATGCTCCAAACTTTCTACAACTGATAATAAAACTCCATTCCATAGGTTTGTTGCCTTTTCTTATTTGGTTATTTTATATGAAAAACTTTAAATAAAATAATTTTAATTATTAGATTTAATAGTATTGATGTTTTGTTTTTAGAATTTGTTTGTAATGATTAATGTGCCACCACATAAATGTAACAAATATTAATAAAGCTATGGCAATAAACATAATGTTGACACAAAAATGCCAAATCTAAAGTTAAATAATTCATCTAAATCTGGTAAGTTTACACTTAATCAAAACTTAAAAAATTATTATTTCTGTTTTTAGTATTTAAGTAAAGGAAAAGTTTTTTTCCCTTGTTTTTACTATTACTAATGACTAGCTTTACTGTGTTTTATAAAAAAATTTCTGTGTATAAAAATATTTAGGAAGATTCAGAGGCATTTTATTTTTTTTATTTTTCTTTTTTTGTTGTTGTTGTTTATAAAAGTTATTTGTTAAATAGCTTTTACAATAAAAGAATGAATAAAATACATACAACAAGAGTTGCAAATTTTGTTGATTTTACAATAAGAACGCAGATATTCACAGAATGTCATAAGATCTTGTCATCGAGTACCGCCTAAACAGATTTTAAATAAAAAAATGTTTAAGATGCTTTAAATTGTATTTATACTCTAGCAACATTTTAAGGTTATCTCAGGCTTGGTCGGGAAGCGAGAGCGATCGCTCTCGATTGCTGACCACGTAAATAATATTTAATTGCGATACTTTTTTAGTGATCTTCCTTTTTACCCTCTATTTAAACATGAATTTATAAAAATTATATATGTAATTTTGTATTTGTAACGGAATATTTTAAGTTTCTTACTTTGTTACTTATTTTTTTATTATTATTAAATATTGATTATTATTATTATTACTATTATTATTATTTATTTGTATTTTAAATATTGTAACAAAATGCGTAATAAAAGAACAAAAAAAAACGGCATTCGCAATACAGTGTATCGAAAAACAACATTTTTTTAATTTGAAATTATAATAGAGCAGAAAAGTTGCAAAATGTTTTGAAAGGTAGTTGTGCCAAATTTTTGTAAATTTTTTTTATGTCTTCAGTTCGCGCTAGGGTTTAATTTTTCTTACAAAAACCCGTTTTCTGACCTTTTTTACAAAATAAAAATAACAAATTCTATGCATTATCAAGAGTTGTAATAGAGTTTAAACATAACACAATGACTAAATTAGAAATGGTTTTAACTTTTAAGAAAATATTTTAATGTCTTCAGTTGCCGCTACACGCTTAAAAATAGTGTGGACAAAAAACACGACACTTAATGTGGCGTCTTTTTGGCTACACAAGTTGTGTACTTCAAGGCTACACTTGTGCGCTTTAAAGCCACACTTGTAATTATGAAATTAAACTTCATTATATGCGTAAAAAAAACCACACTTTGTGTTGCACTTTCTTGGATTCTCGTATCGAATTATTTGGAAAAGAGGCTAGAATCATGTTTTTAGCTACATGTTTTTTTTTATGAACCATTTACAATTTTACTGAAAATTTCAGTGTAACTTTTATTGCTGCATGGTAATTTTAAACACATACATGGTTAACTTTTTCATAAAGAAATATTTGGTTTGTAATATTTTAGTAATATCGTATTAAATATGTTAAGCGAGGAAAATATTGATTTTCAGTTGTTAAAAATTAGGTAAGACCTTCGGTTTGTAGTACATTACTACATGAATTAGTTGTGTAACTTTATTTAATTAGACTAATGTTATTATTTTATATATATTGTATTAAAATGTTAATACAATTATTTTAGTTACGTTAACAACATTATTATGAAGTTATAAAAATTATAACATAATAACATTAGTTATATAAAATAATAACATTAGTCTAAAAATAATGTGTAAAATATAGGTTTAAATAAAATCACATGACATTACCAGTTAACTGGTAATCTGTTAACATAACACAAGTAATGTTGTTAACATAACTGTTAATAATGTTGTTAAATAATATTGTTAACATTAAACGTTAATGTTAATGTTATTAAAGTTAATTTTTTTATGTTATAAATAATGGAAAATATTTAATACATAAATATTATTGAATAAATATGATAATGGTGTTATTTTAGTTAAAATAGCAGCATTTTAGTTATATTAACAACAACTATTTTAGTTATCATATGTTAACAACTAGATATATATGTATACCATAAAAGTATACTTTACATTATGTACATATCTTTTTTTTTGCTGAGATAACTAATAAAAAACATTATTGCATGATATATCATTCAATAATGATTTTTATTAGTTATGATTATGATTTTTAGTCATGTTGCATGTTGAAATAATGTATTAAATAATTTTATCATACCTATGAAAGCACTCTAATAAAATTATATTAATATATGCAATAAATGCACAACTATGATTTATAGTGCTATAATATGTATATATTGTGTATATATATATATATATATATATATATATATATATATATATATATATATATATATATATATATATATATATATATATATATATATATATATATTTTTTTTTTTTTTTTTTTTTTTTTTTTTTCTGATAAAAGTTATTAAAATGTTTATTTGCTATATATGTGGTACTTTTACAAAACTATTGATTTTTTTTCAAAATCATCTACAACGTCATAATAGTATTGGCGAAATTGTTTATCCAATTAAATGTTTACGGAATGGCTGTAAATGTACCTGTACAGCTTATATATTGCTAATTAGACGTGTAAAATGTTACCATAATACTGATAATGATTTCATTGATAAAAATCCTGAGCCAAAATATATAGTAATCCATTAAATGATAATCGTAACGATTTATTGCCTAATTTTTCAGAATATTCATTGCCTAGTTTCCCAGAAAATTCTACTTATCAAGTTTACACTTATCCTAAAAAAACAATAGAATATATTGATCCTTTGTTAGTTTCTTCATTGTGAACAAGCAGCAGTGTTCCTTATTACATTATACCTGAAGTAATTGTTTCTGTTAACAGTAATTTCATAATCATTAGTTTCCTATATTGCAGCGCTCAAATAGTTTTTCAAAGCTTGCCAATCAAATGTAATTATTTCACAAAAAAAGGTTTTCCTTGAATTTTTCGAAATTTCTTCAAACATTGCTGATCATTGATCGGCTGTTATTTCGAGCAATGATATTGGTGATGCTGCTTTATCAGTTTTCAATGACATTAGAGCAGATTCCACTCTATTGTTTAAGAGTAAGTTTGAAAGTAGTGTTATACATTGCAATGAGCCACTCAAGTTTCTTGACACATTTTATAAACAAGATAAACACTTAGAAAAAACTTCTCTTTTTGTAACTTCTGAAACATGCAACATGGGTCCTTCTAGATATGAAAATAATGAGGGAATTTCAAAGATAGTTTAATTTCATTGAAGAGGTATCAAGTAATATTACATTGCATGATGGCTTTATTACTTGCAAACAAAACATTTTGTTACTAGCAAGAGATTCAATGTTCAAAAATACTTTGTCAGAAGACTAATATAATGGAGGTATATATATGTCTACTACCCTAAGTGGGGAGAATGAATAAATAAGAACTTTATAACTTAAATAAGAATTTTTACAACATAATTGTCAATCTGCATAAGTACTAAGCTGCTGCAACTTGACTATGTGCCAATCTGAAAAAGTACGAAGTTTCTCTTTCTCATCTTATTTCATTTATTAGTTCCTTATGTATACCCTTTTAATCCAAAAGAAGGTTTTTTTTATAATCTACCTATAAAGGTTTATAAGTATATACAAGTTGTTTCCTGATTTATTTTTATTTTTATTTAGAAGATGCAACTTTGCTTACATTTAAGGTGCTCCCTTTTCTTATGATAGCACCTCTACAGAAGGGCAAGAAGAGTCCAAAAATGGATCTTAATGCAATTTTGGCTTTATTTTATAGAGAAATGGATGTAAGTTTTTTCTATGCATTTTTTTTTAAAGTTAAATTTGGTTTATAATCAAAAAGTATTACTTTTTTGAGCTTTGTATTTTCTGCATTTTTAAAATTTTACTTAAACATTTAGGTACACCTCAGTTTTGAAAGCTCCCTTGAGTTATTGAAGAAGGAGAAAGTTTTTCTACTGATTTTATTCAAATGTTGCGGCACTCTATAATTCAAATTATAACTCTAATTATAAGTCGATAATACAGCTATACGGTTGGAAGCCATACCGAGTATTAGATTTGCTTTTGAGTTGCTGCTAGTCTCTTATTATGTATTTAATGTCAATTTTCCTCATGAAATTATTTGTGTATATGGATTTATGGGAAATTTGCTTGGAATAAACAGCAAAAGAATTATCGTCAATTCCTTTTAAAGAAAGTATTGCCAAAAGTTTAAGCAATATGTTTGTGAAACGAAAAAGTATTTTTATCACTTTCTTATTTATTTTTGTTATATCGTCAGCCGAGAACCAAGAGGCCGTATGTTTTTTTTTGTGTTTCCAAGAAAATCAAGTTTTTAATTTTAATTCGCGAAGACTTTCTTCCAGAAAATTCGACTGATTATTTAAATATTTCCTAAAATTTTAATGTTGTGGTATATTTATGGAACACACACTCTTGAATATTTATTGATAATGGACAAAAAAAAAAAAAAAAATGTTGACATACGGTTCTTCTCTGACGGCGGTATCTATTTTTCAAAGTTTTAACTCGCTTTTGCATATAAATGTTTTAAGACTTGTCTTTAATTTAATGTTCACTGAATTGAGTTTGAGTTTGAACTGAGTTTATATACTTAAAAGAAATACTATAACAATGCATTGACTCGGAATTTAAATAAAATTTATATTTCAGTTTTTATTATTTTATTGTGATGTCGTTCCGTCATTTCTTATAAGCCAATATAATATACATGTGTAATTTAGTATATGACTCTAAATGACAATGTGTAATTTAGTATATGATATAAATAGCATTCTTAATTTGAATTATTTAATTGCGCCCGGTTATATACATAGTACGTGAAGACCTAAATGGGCGGAATAAATCACGCATAAATATACTTACAAAAAATCAAAACATTTTTAACGTCTAGAAAAACACAGATTAGTGTATTAGCTATAGTGTTACATTTAGCGCAACACTAATTTTGAGGTTTTTTTACAACAGTTTTGTCGCGCAAAAAAAGCGTATATATACAGCCATTGATTAAATGCAACAATTATGTCGAAAAAATTTCTACAAAAGTGTCGCATTAAAGGCCACAAAGTGTGGCTTTCGAGTCTACATTTTATGTAGCCTTACGAATGCAACACTGAGTGTGGCTTTTAAAGCCACATAGTGTTGGTGTAGCCGGCGTCGACACTCATTGTTGTATTCTACGCGACATAATGTAGCCTACAGCTCAACACTATTTTTAAGCGTGTAGTGGACTGTGTTTTTACAAAAAAAAAAAAACTGTTTCACGTGTTTCTGGTAAACAAGCTTTGCTGTCCATTATGTACAATCCAAGTTTTAATAAAGTGAAAAATGTTTTTGAAAAATGTTTAAAGTTTAGTGGAAATAAAGTTTAACTATTTGATTCATTTGGATCTGTTTCAAACTGTCTTTTTGCGTTGAATAAAGGCATTATTTTTCACGATGCAGGTCTTGAATGAATAAAGCCGTCTCTACTATAGTAGAGACAGCTTTATTCGTTCAAGATTTGCATCACAAACAATAATGCCTTTATTCAACATATAAAGACAGTTTGAGACAGATTAATCATAGCAGCTCACGAAAACGTTTCTGTACCAAGGTTTTCTTTTTTTTCTTTTGTCATTTTTTTCTTCACTTTTAACTGACCATGTTTGATAAGACAGGTTGTAAAAAATATGTTATATCAATTCCATACACCGAATCCAGGCATATAATGTGAACAGTCCGTATTGATACAAACTTTCATTTTCGGGTCTAGCGACACTTTAGTCAAATGAATCATTTGTCGTGGAATAGCTCCACATATTGTACATGTAGACGCAGAAGGCGTATCCGTTAATACCTGAGCCACTTTTCCATCTATCATTGTTAAAAAAAGTTCATGTTTCACTAATATTTCTTTACAACATTGTTATAAATTATAGATTTTATCTATAATTTTAGAACGCATTGCAGCAGATTTTAATTAAATCAATTTTATAGACACCTTAACAACAAATCAATTACAAAAATGAAGCGTGGGGAAGCGTGACTACTAAAAATTTCGGTAAACTTTAAGACTTTTTATTTTCTATCTCATTTTATAGTTCAATTAATTATTAGTAAACAAAACCATATAATTAAAAATATGAATTTGTTCTAAAATTTCCATAACATGATGCTTTCAAAAATGTTAACACTTTATACTTATTCATAAAAGTTTTTATAGAAAATAACTTTTAAAGTGACGAAGCAAATGAGTTTCAATTGAAGATTTACAAAAATATGAAACAATAAGTCTTCAAAAATTATCTTTTTACATAAAGTTTGCTGAAATCACTACATTATAGTAAAGATTAACTATGAAACTACAAAAAAAAAATTAAAAAATAATTTCTGCTAGAAAACATTAACAGTACGTTTTTGTAGTAATATTTTCCACAGTGCAGTGAGCCAGAATTCACTTTTACTGGACAAAACCAATAACTCCTAATATAAAAAAGATTTAAGGACTATTTTTGCATTTTCTTCTATTTGAGGATTGCGGTTTCAATGGTGACATTAGTTTCATTTTTGGATTGTTATGGATACCTAAATTGCTTAACAACCACATATTTTATTAACCATAATAAAGATAAATTGGAATAAAGTAACAATTTTACTGAATTACTCCCATACTACCACACACAGTATTATTATGCTACAAATGTAGTGGTACTGAGAATTTTTTTATTTGGTTTATCGTGATACCTGAAATACCTGGCAACGTTCATTTTACATGGTTACAAATAACTTATAATTTATACGTAATTTGTAATATAGTTACAAATTATTTATAAATAAATATTTAAAGATGTATTAATACTAAAACAAGTTTATAACACTTATCTACTTGACTTAGGGGAGAATCGGGTAGCCCCGGGCACTAAAAAAAAATATAGATTGTACACATGTGCTAATAGAAAACAAAGTGTCAAAAGACTTTTTTCAAAAGTTCAAACTTTCATCTATCGGTTTACAAACAAAAAAAATATTTATTGTGTATTTTAATAATATAAAAAACATAAAAGAAAAAATGTTAGAAAAAAGGCATGTTTCAAAATTGGAGGATAGCCCCGGATACATAGTTTAACCATGATTTTAACTCTTTTTTACCAGTGTGACACAAATGTAACATATAATAATTTAGCATTGGACTGTTCGTGACACAGTTTTAAAAAAATCGCCTTTAAAATTTGCCCCTGCTATATAAGGAATGAGAATGAAAATGTCATCATTTAAAAATATAAGCATAAGCTTTTTTATAATAAAATAAATACTTTAAAAACACTTTTTTCAAATGTAATGTTTTTTTATTGAAATTAAATGAATTACTATTATAGGTTTGTGTATTATATTAAATGTATAAAAATTTATATTAAAAATTTGTTTATTATTAATATGGTAAACGTATTAAGTTGTCCGGAGCCACCCTCCAAACACGTGTCCGATACCACCTGATCATACCTCATTTACTAATACTAGTTTTAAAACCAGTGAATTAAAGTTTAAACGAATTTTTTTATAAGCTATTGTAAATCAAAATATATTTATAATCATTAAAAAGTTATTAGTTTACATAAAAATTAGGTATATTAATATGTGAATCAAATATGAAGATACGTCGCTCTTCTGGTGCACAGTGGGTCAGAAGTCGGCAAAACCTAAAACATAAAGTTTAAAAAAACTTTTTTTTTTTTTTTTTTAATATAGGTTAAATAAGTCTAATATACGAAAATAATATTATTTATGATAATAGATTATGATTAAATAGAAATACTTGGCCGCAAACTACTCCAGTTCCGTCAGCAAGCAATGTTGAAAATTATTCATTATTTTTTCTAAATATTGCCGTTTATTTTTACATGCTTCCTGCTTTAAAAGGTAGGAAAATTTTATGCTATATTTTTTGAATTTGTATATAGATGTATAATTTATCCTCAAAATATCATTATAAAAAATATAACAGTATTTTTTTATGCCTAACTGTACAGGCTGTTTTTTAAATTATGTAAATTCTTTTTTTCTTTGTTGGTGTTTAAATAGTAGTGTATTAAGCAATATTAAAGATATGTTGCAGCTGTTTTCATAAGTACTTGATGTGTACTACTATTATCAAGCAAAATATTTTGCCAGTTTTTGCCAGTCTAGAGTGAGCAATGATTTTAATATGTAATAATTGTAATTTTTATAAACCGGCCGTGTTGTTATCTCATTAATATAATTTTTATAGTCCGGACGGACTATACTATTTATTGGCGAATATTTAAGAGAACATAATAATAAGAAAGAAAATATAATAATAATAATAATAAAAAAATATTCTTAGACAATATATTCCTTTTGTATATATCTGTTCATATTGGGCATAAAATATTACAGTAGGTTGCCTAGTTTTTAACAAACACATGCTCATTATTTTGTTTGTACATTTAATCTACTCTCTCTCTCTTTCCCTCTCTCACTCTCTCTCTCTCTCTCTCTCTCTCTCTCTATATATATATATATATATATATATATATATATATATATATATATATATATATATATATATATATATATATATATATATATATATATATATATATATATATATATATATATATATGTATATATATATATGTGTATATATATATATATATATATATATATATATATATATATATATATATATATATATATATATATATGTATATATATATATATACATATATATATATATATATATATATATATATATATATATATATTATATATATATATATATATATATATATACATATATATACACACATTATTATATATATTATTATATTATCTATTCTTATATTAATAGATGTTCTTTTTAATTTTAGATGAATAGAAGACAGTTATACATTTATATTAAAGAAACTGACTGTAATAAAAATGATTTACTTTGTAAACTGGTTGAGTATGTGGAAAATGTTTCACCAAACACATTTTTAGATATAAAGCCAACATTATCATCATTTGTTCATCAATACAAACGTAAAATGACAACTGTAAAAAGGGAGTATACTCAATTTGAAAATAAATATGCTACTTGGCTAGATGCTATTATTTCTTTTAAACTAATAAAAGCTGTTACTCCTGAAAAAAATTATGGTGGAAGACCAGAAACACCTTTTAACAAATCTTCAATACGATCAAAGGACAGAAAAGTTTCTAACATTATACATATGTACTCTACTAATGAAATATTATATGCAGCTTCAAGGTCATTAAAAAAAGATGGGAGAAATGCAGAGGCTATCAGTGTCAAAAGTATTTTATATACCCCTCAAGCAAGTCTTTTTTCTGACAAAGCACTAGCACTCTTCTTAGATGCTAATCTGTCAAAGGCAACATACCAACTTCTCCGCAACAATGCTTTGGATCTAGATTCAGCTATTTATCCAACATACCATGATTTAAAGAGTGCAAAAGACAGATGTTATCCAGATGATGTTATAATCTCTGATTACTCAGCAGAAATTCCGTTGCAGTCTCTACTTCAGCACACATCACAACGACTTTGTGATTCTCAGATAGAAGTGCTGACTGCTGATTCCCTTAAAATCTTTAAAAAACTTACACTTAGATCAAAAATAGGATTTGATGGTGCAACTGGTCTGTCAGTGTATAAGCAGTCGAGTACAGATGAGGCTGGCAGGAATTTAGCCAATGAAGTATCTTTATTTATTACATGCTTAGTGCCATTAGACTTATACTTTTTTACAGATGCCAAGCGGCAGCTTGTTTGGAGGAATCATAAACCTTCG